TAGTCATAGCTTGCTCTATGCCAGTCAGTGTTTTAATTTAAGCACATTACAATATAAGTTAATTTACTCCTCAGAATAACTTTATGAAGTAGAAATTAGTTCCATTTTCAAGATGAGAAAATAGAGACAGAGCTATTATGTAACTTGATGAGGAAATAGTAAAGCCAGGTGACTAAACACAGGCAGTTTCACTCCAGAGATAACATTCTTTATCATTATGTAATTATATGCCTAATTGTCTCAAATGTTGCAAGTGCTTTAAAAATTTTAAATATTCCTAAACATGATCATATTAATACCATGGTATTGATTTGCAAATCTTTTTTATTCTAAACTTTCCATGGATTGGGAGCAAGCAGATTTATTATCACAGTCAAACTAAGGCTGCTATCTCAGACAAAGAAGCTGTTATCTCAAGTTGAAGTTATCGATTAGCAATTTATGACTGTTAGGGTTATTTTTCATTCAGAGATGTGAAACCTAGGGTATAGGACTCAAGGGCTGGATGCTTCCATGTAGATTTTTCTAGTGCCGGTTATTAACAAAAATATACTAGTGATTTAACTAAAAGGTATGAAGTGTCTACAAATCACTTGTGCCACCAATTAATTAAATGAATTGGGTATGTTTCCTTCAATTGACATCCCCAGAATGTACATGATGCAGATTGTGTCCTTTGATTTCTTTCATCTGATTGAGATAGATGATATTTGCAACATCGGAGTAATGGCCCATTCCCTTCTTCTGGATTCTGTGTAGCCTGATCGAATTCTTTTATTATTTGTGTGTTAGTCTGGGTGGACCACACTTTCTTTAGATACTTCGAGATATCCAGTTGAATTTGCATTCTTATGCTCCACAAGTGGTATTAAATTTTATATGTGTTTTCACTTTCAGTATATTGGGACATTAAAAAATACCTTGTAGATAATAGTTTAGACAGTCTTTCAACATATAGTTATTGATCGACTTTATCAGACACTGGCTTGATATTGTGAGAGAGGAATATAAGTAAGTCAACATCTTTGTCAAAAACAATCTTCACAGAAATGTTTCTTAAAGTGCAGGCCCGAAGGCCTATTTGCATTAGAATTGCTTGAGGTACTTGTCAAAATTATAGGGGTTTTTTCTTTTCTTTTTTTTTTTTTTTTTGGAGACACCGTCTTACTCTGTCGCTCAGGCTAGAGTGCGGTGGCATGATCTCAGCTCACTGAAACCTCTGTCTCCTGGGTTCAAACAATTCGCCTGCTTCAGCCTCCTGAGTAATTGGGATTATAGGTGTGTGTTACCACACCTGGCTAATTTTTATATTTTCAGTAGAGACTGAGTTTCACCATGATGGCCAGGCTAGTCTCAAATTCCTGACCTCAGGTGATCCGCCTGCCTCTGCCTCCCAAAGTGCTAGGATTACAGGCATGAGCCACTGTGCCCAGCATCAAAATTATAGGTTTTTTAGAATTTTTATCCATACAGAATTCCTAAAGGAAAGGGATAAGAATCTTTAATTTTTAAAAACTTCCAGAGAATTTTTCTGCATATCCGTGGGTGATTCTTATAGTCAATAAAATTTGGGAACTACTTATGTACACTCTTGTAGATTAGAAAAGAAATTATATAACTTAATATAAGGAAAATGATATGTGATGTTGGTTTTGCCATAATTGATTTGCATTCGTTTTCTGGCAATAGTTGGGTAACAGAATCAATAGTTTCTTAAGGCCATCTAGAGTTTATAATAAAACTATGGAATATGATATTTATTTTCCTGTTTCCTGTGGCAAAAATTTTGTAAGTTTACATTGTGGGGTTGTTTTTCTTACTGGTAGTCTCCTAGTATCTGATATGAGGGTAGTTTGTTGTTTTTTCTTTTTTTAAACTCTTTGAGGTGGTATAATTTTTAACAGATATTCTTTCACTTAAAAGAAGTTTAAAGCAGGCAGGGTGTAGTGGCTCATGCCTATAATCTCAGCCCTTTGGGAGGCCAAGGTAGGAGGATGGCTTGAGCTTAGGAGTTTAAGACCAGCCTGGGCAACATAGGGAGACCCATCTCTATAAAAAAATTTCTTTTAATTAGCAGGGCATGGTGGCATGTGCCTGTGGTCCCAGCTACTCTGAAGGCTGAGATGGGAGGATTGTTTGAGCCCAAGAGGTTGGTCTTATGCCTCTGTACTCCCTCCTGGATGACAGAGCAAGATCCTTTCTCAGAAAAAAAAAATTCACTTGCTGAGTTTTATTGTATATCAATTAAGAGTTTGGTAATAATTTTAGGAGTTTCATAAAGATAAGGCATAAGTTTGGGTCAACATTTTCTCCTTTCCCTATGTCATTTTAGCCATTAACAGGCCAGATATCACAGATACAGAAATGGAAACTGTTATGGACACTATAGTTGACAGCCTCTTCTGCTTTTTTGTTACTCTGGGTAAGTTTTCCAGTCTTTCTGGTTAGTCTTCAAAGTAAATTAATAATTTAACAAGTCATTTTAATGTATTATACTGTAATGTGATTCTTTCTCACCTGGATCTCTAGAGGCTCTCTAGTGGAGTAAAATATATATTCAGCAGTATGGAAAAACCATTTTTCTAATAACTTGATGTGGTTCTCTTGAGTTAACATTTAACAGATCTATTGAGTTGTCATTTTAGATGACTTTGGTAATCATAATTTCCTAATATATTATTTGAATGATTTGGTGGTGACTTCACCTATGTGCCTGTTAATTTTCTTTTAATATTATGAAAAATTTTAAACGCACTTCTAAATAGATAAATGTTAGATAACTATTAAGTTCAGATACCCAAGGCTCCAGAAAACATAACTCTGTATATATACTGATCTACCTAAACTTTCAAATTTCATTTTTAATCTTGTTTTTCTTATTGTCAACTTTTAGGTTCAGGGGTTACATGTGCAGGTTTGTTACATGTGTAAATTGTGTATCACTGGGATTTGGTGTACAAATGAATTCGTCGCCCAGGTCATGGGCATGTTTCCTGATAGGTAGTTTTTTGACCCTCATCCTCTCCACTCATGTAGGCCCCAGTATATGCTATTTTAATCTTTGTGTCTTTTCTTTTTGTTTAGCTCCCACTTACAAGTGAGAACATGGGGTATTTTGTTTTCTGTTCCTGTTAATTCCCTTAGAATAATGGCCTCCAGCTGCATCAGTGTTGCTGCAAAGCATATGATTTCATTTTTTTATGACTCTGTATATTCCATGATGTATGTGTATCACAAATTCTTTATCCATTCTACCCTTGATAGGCATCTAGATTGATTCCATGTCTTTGCTGTTGTGAATATTACTGCAATGAATATATGGGTGAATGTGTCTTTTTGGTAGAATGATTTATATTCCTTTGGCTATATACCCAGTAATGGGATTGCTGAGTTTAATGGTAGTTCTGTTGTAAGTTCTTTGAGAAATCTTCAAACTGCTTTCCATAGTGGTTGAACTAATTTACATTCCCACCAACAGTGTATAAGTGTTCCGTTTCCTCTGCAACCTAACCAGCATCTGTTATTTTTTGACTTTTTGATAATAGACATTCTGACTGGTGTGTGATGGTATCTCATTGTAGTTTTGATTTTCATTTCTCTAATGATTAGTGATGTTGAGCATCTTTTCATATGCTTGCTGGCCACATATATCCTTTTTTTTTTTTTTTTTTTTT